TATATATATATATATATATATATGTTCCTTCTCTCTCTCTCTCTCTCTCTCTCTCTCTCATATATATATATATATATATATATATATATATATGGAAGAGACTACGCAACGCCTATATGCGAAATGCTGCAGTGATTTCGCCTATAGGCTCATCACCGCCTGAAAAAATTGAACAGCCTGGATAAAACGACCGCCACAGACTGCCACGGACATGCTAGGTCCATTACGGTAAAAAATCCACGCGGAAGCGTCACATACATTTCGTCGTTCGCTGCAAGTTCATTCAATAAACCACCACAGACATAGCAAGTCCTATTCATTTTCACCTATAAGCATTTTTAAGACTGTTGCTCTATATATATTCAAGCTATCAGATTTCACATTAGATGTTTATAAGTAATAGTGACCTTGTACCATTGGGAAATGATTGCATTGAATACAATCCAATCCCCTATATGTGTGAGTGTGAGTGTGTGTGTGTGTATTAAGTTAAGTATCCTCCTTGAGGTGGGGCGAACATAAGATAACATATATTGTATAATTTTTATGGGAAACGATTCTATGAACCAACCGGACGACGGCACACTATGGGCCAGATGGCCAAGATCAAAGGAGAAAGAGATGAAGGGCCAGATTTGCGTGCTAATGAAATTAGGATTTCGAGAAAATTAGGAGTCCAATGGATCCCAATTACACATTCATGTAGGTCTCATCAAGGTGCTGAAATAAAAAAAAATTGAATTCGCACCACCATTCTTGGCTATCGATTTCACCTCGCCTCCATCTGGCCTATATTGATAGGTCGGCTCGTAAAATCATTTTTCGCTTTTTTTATGTATTGGGTGATATATTAATCAAATTCAAGCCGAGCTCAAGCTGAGCTTGTCTTAGTTTGAGCTTGGCTTGTTTAATAAGTGAGTTAACAAGCTCAGCTGAGCTTAGCTTGTCAATCCAAATTATATTTTGCTCAAGCTTGGTGCGTACAAAGCCAAGACGAACTGGCTCTCAAGCTGGCTTGGTTTGCTGGCAGCCTTAGTAATGGATCATTTTTAATAATCATTAAACTTGTTTACATTTTCAGGCTCAAGCTTGCAGTGCATTTTCTATTTCTTCTATACACAACGCCTTTCTTTTTAGATTTTTTATGTTGTAGGTACAAGTCTTGCTGCAAAGTTTTTACGATCTAATGGAATAACTCTTTTCAAAATGCGGGATGAAACTGTCAAGTTACTTGGAAAGTCTGAGATGTACTTTTTCAGTCCTGAGCATCCGCCGTTAACTGAGCCGGCACAGAGAGCTCTAGACTGGGCTGTTGATGAAAAAATGAAATCAGGTAATACAAAGCTTATTCCTCTACTTATCCAATCCTTTCTTTGATGGACTTGTAACTTAAGGCACTCTGGCTTTTTATGTTCCTGTGAGTTTGATTGCAATCAAGCAATACTATAGAATGTTGCGTGTTATTATAGATTATGTAACCCAAAGACCTAGAAACATAGTTGTTGTTTCTTGGATACATTCTGATGAATCTTTAAGTATCTCTCTAAAGCAAATATTAAATGAGGTCGCCACATTTAGTATGGAAGTTCCTTGATCATGGAAGTTCCTTTTCAATCTCGTTAACAGAAGATGGCAATTAATTGAGCCTTATAAGTGGATGGATGTAATTGTCTGCTCAAATTTGATTCTTCGTTCTCAAGTTGACTCAAAAACGAAAAGAAAACGAGGCTCGTAACCATGTTGGCAAGCTGAATCAAAAAGAAGAAATAAGTTGACATGGTGGTTTCTCTTTGAAAGTCTTTTATCTATACAAAACTTTGTCTGTTTGTTTTGCTCCTTGAGAAAGTTAATCTAAGTTTTCAAAACCTCTATGAGTTACCAACATGCTAGATTAGGATTTTACTCAATGATTAGTAAACCATCATGCATCAATGAATCAATTGAATGTCCCTCTGGTCATGCTTTATTGAACCATCTAGTTATGCAAGCCTCGTCTTAAAAACTTAACATGTGCAGCACATTTCAGATTTTTGATGTCGTAAATAAAGTCATGTATTGGTCCTTGGATGAAAACTTGTTTTTTTAATCTAAATTTATATCACTATCACCATAAGTCCACAAGTATTTCGCCCTGTTTTCAACCATCATATCCCAAGTCATAAACCCCCTCCCCCTTCTCCCGCCAACAAACATTCTGCTCTTCCCCCTTGCCAAATCCACTCATATTTCTGCTCTCCCCCCCACCCCCAAACAAACAAAAAACCCCCAAAAAAAAGAGAAGAAAAAAACATGGAGTTTTTCTTGTGTAGTTCTGCGGTAGGAATCGATTTTGAGATGTAGTTGCTGCATGTCAGCTGCTAACCACTCGAGCCCAAGCCTGATGACCAAGTACTTGTCCATGGACTCCTAAGCATCGTCCATTAAAAAGATGAGTGGGATTATTATAGATCCAAATTATTCTGCTGTTGTGTTCATTGCACGTACAAAGGCCAAGTCATTCACTTGTTTTGCAGGATCCTGTTTCATCTCTTTATAAAAATATACAAAAAGTTTGGAGCATTTAAAATGTCAATGAATTTAAAAATCAAACTATCAATATGGCTTTTCTTTCGGGTAAATATGAATCACATAAAAACAAATTGTGGTATAAACATTGCATGCATGCATGCCAAGCTTTCCTTTGATGAAAGCACACTCAAAAATTGAATGGATAATTGTTGCAACTAGGTGCATTGATGCCATGAACATCTCATCTAGCTATATAGATGTGATGCATCTATAACGTGTTTAAGTTGCATGAAAGACATTAAAAATCCAAGTCACTAATACTTCAGTTCATGGAATTATAATTTATCAGATTGCCTTTATTCTTTTTTAATTGGGTTGCTTCTTTATTCTCTCTTGCATCTCAAGGTCCCAACCACGTCTCATATAGCATGTTCACACATGCTATTTATCTTATATTGTAGATTCTGTTTGTTTTCTCGGAAATTTGTCTCTTTATACTATCTTGAAGGTCCCTCATTATCTCAAAGTTGAAGCAAATCCAATGTTTGAGTAAGAAATGGTTGGTTCAAGCAAAAAAACAAAAAAAAAAAAATTTCTTTTTTCTTTTTTGTTGTGTGTGTGTTTGTGGGGGGGGGGGGAGGGGGAGGTGTTGTTTTGGGAGTGGTTGTGTATGTAATCTCCTATTCATGATTTTATACACTAGTCCATGCCCACTTCGATTGCCATAAACTGCTTGTGCATAACCCCTGGCCATTTTCTCGGTCACATACAACCGTAGCTGGTTTCCTGTAAAAAATATGACAGTATGGATTGATATGAAAGAAAAGAAACTAAAGATAGAGAGAATGACGCTACTCCACAAAACGCTTAATGGAGGGAGACTTTTTTTGAATAAAATTAATGGAGGGAGACTTCTCTTCTCTGGAACCCCAACTTACAGTTAAAGATCGCCTTTTCTTTCTGGGGGCATTTGGATACCCTGTAGTGTAATCCGAGATCAAAGAAATTATATATCTTGAGGTTGTAGGACTTGCCTATTTCTTTCCCCAAGAAAACATAGCCCTTTAATAGTCATTGATAATTAGAATGTTGTGAACTACTACTTTAATTTGCATTACTTGTTTTCGATTGTTTAGTTTTGAGGAACCCAATGAGAGATTGGTGTTGAATTGCAGGTGAGGATGGGGAGGTAACCAACACCCACTTGCTTCTTGGCATTTGGTCTCAGAAAGAGTCTGCTGGTCACAAGATAATGGCTACTCTTGCGTTTGATGACAAGAAAGCTGAGGAGCTGGCCAAATCTGTAAGTCTCTCTTTCCTCAATCTGATATATATATATAGGGTGAGGTTCATATAAGGTGTCCACCTTATATTATACAAGTAGGGCACATCTCTAAATTTAACCGGAAAATGTAGTTTTGGTAACCGAAACCTTATAATGGCTTGAAAATCCGTATTCAACCCTAATTATGAAATTTAAAACTTCAAAACATGTCCAGATTGAGCAGATATATAAACTCTTAGAAATCTTGAAAATAGACTGTCTAAATAGCTTTTTACAAGATGCACAATTTTTAGGACGTGAAGTTTTTTTTTGTATGGTATCCATACACCTTGAGGGCGAGATGATCAAGTACAAGGTTTCCCACATGTGCACACGTGGGTGCACACGCATTTTTATGTATGTGTATGTGTGCACGTGTGGGGTTAATGTTTCTAAACTGGGCCTGACCCTGGTGAAATAACTTGGCCGAGTCCTTTCGGACTTGGCCAAGTAGTGTATAAGACAAAAAAGCTAACAATTTTAAAAAGCAAAGAATTTATCAAAAATCAGGAAAAAGCAAAATAAGTTTTCAAATTCATTAGAACCCCATAAAAGTCCAAAAATATACATAAAGATGGATTATTGAAATTTTTTATTTGTACCTTTAAATATTCAGAAAAATAAAAATTGGAGCATGTTGAGAGAACTTCCCAAATCATTATAAAAACTATATAAATTATCTTAAAATGTATTTTTAATTATTTAATTAAAATCTTTTAATAAAAAATTAGGCAGGTTTAATCATTTTAAACATGGGCAGAGTTGGCCCTTGGAACTCGCCTCGGCCATACAAGTTATTCAACCAAGTTCCCAGTGGACTCGGCTGAGTCCTGAAATGTTGGTGTGGGTTTTGTTAGAGGACCTTTAAGAAAGAGAGAGAAAAGACATTTCTGTGTGGGAGACCTTTAAGAAAGAGAGAGAACAGACATTTCTGTGTGGGAGATCTTTTTCTCAGAGAGAGAGAGAGAGAGAGAGAGAGAGAGTATTAGAGTAAGAATACTATAGTGTTACTTTAACGAGTAGTACGACGAAGTAGTGTAGTACTTCTACCACCAACCGTAAGTACGAACGAACGAACTAAACTAAACGAAAAAACGAAAAAACG